GCTCATTTGGTTAAACATCTGCCTCAGCTCCGGTCATGATCTCAGGGTCCTAGGATCCAGCCCTGCATCAGGCTCCTTGCTCAGCAGGGAGATCTTGAGATCTGGAATGCCCCTGGAAGGGACTGGCCTTAGGCAGGAGGAGGGTTTCCTTTTCCATTCTGAAATGAAGAAAGAATTGGTGCAGAGCCAGTAAGGATTGGTACCGGGAGGACTTCTCTTTCAGTGCCTTTCCTTTCCTTTCCTTTTTGCTGAGAACGGGGGGAAATGAAGGGATAAGTGGTCTAAGAGTGTGGAGACCGTGTACTGGTCATTGTAGAGAATAGGAGAGCAAGCTAAATGGATCAATACACCAGGATCAGCAGGCAGCATTGAGGCCCAAGTGGTTTCAGTATTGCTTGGCACACTGGGTAAAGGCATGGGGAGGGCCAACGAGGGGATTCGACTAGGACCTTGGTTCTCACTTCGTGATTTCAGAACCCCTTTACATGTATAATTGATGGCTCCAGAGAGCTTTTGTTTATATAGGATGTATTTATTGATAATTACTCGATCAGAAAATAAAACTGGGAAATTTAGGGGCGCCTGGGTGGCTCAGTCAGTTAAGCATCTGACTCTTGATTTTGGCTCGGGTCAGGATCTCAGGGTATTGAGATCAAGCCCTGTGTCAGGCTCTGTGCTGGACGTGGAGCCTGCTTGAGATTCTTTTTCTCTCTCTGCCCTCCCCCACCCCCCTTACTAGCACATGCGTGCACTCTGTATCTCAAAAAAATAATAATTAAAAAATTAAAACTGGGAAATTTAAAAATACTTATATTCCATGTTGACTTCTATTTCATACTATAATAAACCTGTGTGTGTTAACATAATGCTTTTATGAAAACTATTTTCCAAGACAAATTAGCAAAAGAATGACGGTTTACAATTTTGCAAATCTTTTTAATTCCTTTCATGTTAGAAGACAGTTGGATTCTCCTATTGATCCATTTAACCTGTTGCGATACATTGTTTTTGTTCAAGTGTATGAGGAAACCTCATCTTCATACAGCTAGGTAGTTGGAAAGGGTAGTATTTTAATAGCCTTTTCAGATAATTGTGGATATCCTTCTTTGATACTATATTAAAACTACACAATGGTAAATTTTTTAAAGATGAGAGTATGGATTCTGACCGTTATCAATTAACTTTTTTTTTTTTTTAAGATTTTATTTTTAAGTAATCTCTATACCCAGTGTGGGGCTCGAACTTAAAACCCCTTGATCAAGAGTCACATTCTCTGCTGGCTGAACCAGCCAGGTGCCCCATCAGTGAACTTTTTGTATATTACAATCTATTGATCTATTATGCTCCAGATCTGTTCTCATCTATTCTCATAAATCTTTTGCTGATGCATAATTTGGAATTGTTTCCTTTGTACTGTTATAGTTTGCTGAGTTACATAGATCTTCTACATGGTGATATGTTTCATTAGATGATATAAAAAAATGGCATTCATTAATATCACCACTGATTCATCAGAAAAGTTTTTAAGTATTGGGAAGCCATCAAGTTCATAGTGATGGTTGCAAGTTTGCCACCATCTGATTTTTGCTTGAAAGATGGAATTTTATCATAGGCAACAAATAGTATCATTGTCCTTTTAGTAACAGGCTTGCTTTGTTCAGTTTTGAGAAAACGTCTGCCAAACAGGAGAGAACTGTCCTACTATGGAGCAAAACTGCTTTATATGTTTGATTTCATCATACCAAATATTAAAAGACGAAGAATACAATGAACTCTGAGACATAAAGATCAGTACTTACCTTTATTTGTGCTGAGGTTCCAGTGGTTTTCCTCACCGCTGCTTTTGTACCATCAGTGCAAGTGTGATTGCAGGGAAAAGGGGGGTGCATAACCTCTCAGTATTATTATGATAATACGTCTGACCTTGCAGAAACTCTGAAAAGGTCTTAGGGACCCCCCAGAGGTCCATGAGCCACATTTTGAGAATCAGTGTTCTGGGCTAAGATTTTCTTAGGTGTATTCCATGGAATTGGGGCATGCTAGTAAAAGATGCTACCACAGACTGCGCCACAGACTCTGGCCTGGAGAGTCCTTTACTTTTTTCCTGCCTCTCTGCTCTTTCTGAGAGGATACCAGTATGTGCTTATCAGCTTATTTATATGAAATGGGACAGCTAGGGGCTCCTGGGTGACTCAGTCGGTTAAGCGTCTGCCTTCGGCTCAGGTCAGGATCTGGGGTCCTGCTCAGCGGGAGTCTGCTTCTCCCTCCCTCTCTGCCCCTCCTCCCACTTGTGCTTCTCTCTGTCTCACTCTCTCTCTAAAATAAAAAAATAAGCTTTAAAAAAAATACAACAGCTACATCCTGTGTAGTCAAAAGAAACAGTTGATGCTGGGATAAGATATTGGGAGTGAAGAACTGTAGCTTGCAATACTGGATCAGTTCAAAGGATTTAAGGACCAGAGTTCTAGTTAGGCGTATTACTCATGAGGCTCAGTAAGTTGTGAAAATGTCCCCTGCCCTTTCTCTCAGGTCTCTCATGTCTAAACTGGGATTAATATCATTGCTTTCTCAGGTAGTATTGCCGTTGGGATGATGCCATCAGTTCCTTATTCCAGACAATACCTTCAACTTTACATCTGTAAAGCTGTGCTTAGTGTGTGGTAGATGAATTAGTGAATGTTCGTTGAATTAATAGACTAAAACAAAACTGTTTATCATGAGAAATTTAAACATATACAAAAAGAATTACATAATGAACCTCTGTGTAAACACTTGTAACTCTAGAAAATAAGAGCATGTTCTTTAATAAACAAGATGTGATCCTACCCAACAAAATTACAGTTAGGTCCTTAATATCATTAAATACTCCTCTCATGTTCCAGTGTCCTCAATTGAATTAAAATATATACATACATGTTTTTACAGTTGGTTTGTTCAAATCCGATCCACTCAGTCCACTCATTGCATTTGTTTACTATGACTCTTGGTTTCTTTTAATCAAGAACATTTTCATTCACACCCCCACTTTTTTTTTTTTAAGATTTTTTATTTATTTGACAGAGAGATAGAAGCACTAGTAGGCAGAGAGGCAGGCAGAGGGAGAAGCAGGCTCCCCGCTGAGCAGGGAGCCCGATGTGGGACTTGATCCCAGGACCCTGGGATCATGACCTGAGCCAAAGGCTGCCGCTTAACTGATTGAGCCTCCCAGGCGCGCCCCCCCCCCCCGCTTTTTATGCCATTAACTTGTTGGAGAAACTTGCTAGTTTGGTAAATGTCCCAGTGTTTGCTTCCCAGCGATGGTGTTTAGCTTATTTCCCTATTCCCTAGATTTCTAATAAACTAGAGATGAGACCTACCATCAACAGATGAATGGATAAAATGTGGTGTGCATATATGTGTGTACACACACACACACACACACACACACACACACACACACAAAATGGAATATTACTCAGCCATCAAAAAGAATGAAATCTTGCCATTTGCGGTGACATGGATGGAACTAGAGGGTATTATGCTAAGCGAAATAAGTCAGTCAGAAAGACAAATACCATACAATTTCACTCATGTGGAATTTAAGAAACAAAACAGATGAACATGGGGGAAGGGAAAGAAAAATAAAAACGAGAGGGGGGATGGGTTAGCCTGGTGATGGGTATTAAAGAGGGCATGTTTTGCGTGGAGCACTGGGTGTTATGCACAAACAATGAATCATGGAACACTACATCAAAAACTAATGATGTAATGTATGGTGATTAACATAACAATAAAAAAAAAGAGGGAGGCAAACCATAAGAGACTCTTAGCTTATAGAGAGCAAACTGAGGGTTGCTGGAGGGGAGGTGAGTGGGGGCACTTGATCTAATGAGCACTAGGTGTTATATGGAACTCAGAAATCACTGAATTCTACCCCTGAAACTAATAATACACTATATGTTAACTAAATTGAATTTAAAATGAGACTTAAATGTGTGATTAGATGGACATGCGGTTTTTGGGCAAGAATACTTTGTAGATGCTATGTGTATCACATAGGGGACACATAATGTTTTCCTGATACCAGACTTGACTGGTGCCTTCAAGTGTGGGAGCCTGAGCTGTCCAGTGTTCACCACCAACCCTTCTTGTCATGAACTTAGCATCCATGATTATTGCCAGAGTGAATGAGCTTGGGTACTGTGAGGTGCTAAATACATGTGTGGAGGTATTTCTTAGGTACTATTACAGTTACTACTAATAAAGTAGGGCAGTAGCTTTATTTGAGCTAAATCATTAGTGGAATAATATCCAAGAGGAATAGCAGTAGATGGTAACAACGTCCAAATTAGGGACTATAGGTTTAACAATGAGAATAATGTATGTAGTAGAGAATTACTGTTTTTTTCTCCTACAGATTTAGAGCTTGTCTCATAACATTGAATCTTATAAAACAAATAGCTTTAAACGATTTTGTTAATACTTTCAAACGATTTCATGTCGAGATTCAGAATTAATACAATTTTAAGACTTGATTAATACAAATACAATTAACTGATAAAAAAAGATTCCAAGTGACAAGAAGAATTTGGACACACCCTTGGAGCTCTCTGGGTAATGGGAGTTAAGATGTCAGATATAGTTAACCCTAAATTTTGTTCAGTTGTTTCTGTTGGGAGAAAATAAAGCATCCTATTTTATGTGGTTCGTAATGAATTCATTTGTAGAAATTATCATTGAAACCAAACACTGGGAAATCAAATCAAAACAATGTGAACATTTGGAAAATATTGTTGGTTTCTTCTCTTTGCTGTTGGATATGCCTGTTAAACTGATGCTGTAAGAAAAATACTTCATATTTAGAGCAGGGTAGAGGACAGGTGCCATGTTCAAGAAATCAGTATAATCTCTATAGAATCAAACTTGACCATGCTCTTGAAAAACTGAAGAGTGTTTTTAGGTTGACTATGGAACATGAAATTTTACCCAGGGACCTATTAATGTACTTCTTTCTTCAATAGGAAAATAAAAAGTATTTCAAGCGTAGTGAACTTGCAAAAAAAGAAGAGGAAGCATATTTTGAAAGATGTGGCTACAAGGTATGACTGCCTGCTTTTATGTTATTGTATATTTCTGAGTTTAAATTTTTATAGCTGTTGTTAAAGTGACAAAATTATTGATCTCTGTTCACTTTATTAATGTTATACATTAGCCTATAAATGAGAAGCCATCTGGAGAGGTATGAGCTTTTTTCTTTTCTTCTTTTTTAATCTTGAATTCAGGAAAATACATGCATGACTTTTGGCTTGGAATGGTTTGGCTTTTTGTGGACAGCATGAAGTGGCTTGAGACCAAAGCTTGAATTTTTTTTTTTCTTTTAATTCCTGGATCTGATACTGCCTCATCTTCATCTCCACCACCACTCCTTTCCCCACCTCTCCCAATAAAAGTCTATTTTAAAGGGTTTCAAAACATTTTATTCAATCACAGTGGTTTTACCAGTGGTATTTTCCCCACTTTCACTTGAATATTTTAAGCCATTGTTTTTTGTTTGCATTGTTAATAATTCCTTTTGGCCCTGAGTACCTCTGCCTGAGATAGAATGCCATACAACATTTATATGCTTTTGTGTAATAAGGTACCACATTTCAAACACTGCTTGTCTATTGTATAGAAAATATGTAGAAATATTTGTTAGAAACAAATGAGTTGTCTGGAAGACTGTATATTTTTGAAGCATGACTAAAAGTATCAAGGTTACCCTATTATTATCCTGTTCAGCTGTTATCCTAGTTGAATAATATTTTGGGGTTTTTATTGGGAGGGGTTAAATGTTATGAGGTGAAATTGTTTAAATTACTTTAAAAGAAGACAGTATTTAGTTTGATAATTTTTTAAACAAAATTTAGATGTTCTGTTGAAATATTTTTGCCAGATCATAAATTTGACATCAACTTTTTGCTTGTGAAATGTGTATAATATATTCTTGTGCATGTGATGGGGAAAGTTCTAGAAATTAATTTATCTGGCATAGCATTTCTAGAAGGAAGCATGAGGAATGCAAATTTGGTTTGGTTTTGTAGTGTTGGCAGAGGGCAAGTGTTAAAAATGTAGTTTTACGTTTCTGATAGATTTCTAAAATACGAAAGTTTGCATTTGTATTTTGATATTTTCCATAAATATATTGGTTTCATTTGCTTCCAGTTTAGGAAGTTAAAACACAATTTATGTAAATAGCCATCGAATAGATACTCAGAAGAATTCTCATCTTTTGCTTGTCCATCGTTGTCTAATGGACACTTGATCTGGAGAGAGAATCATTGACCATGGGTTTAGTGTGCTGACTTGTTGCTTTCCCAGATCCCTAAGTTTGAACCTTTTCAACTTTTTGGTAAGGTAGGAAAATAATTTAAAACGGGCAGTTTTGCATTGTTTAGGTTGCTTCAGTGATACATTTGTACTTTCTTGTTTAGAGAGAAGCACTGAAGCAAAATAACTAAAGGTACCTCTTGTAACATTGAGTCCTGCTGACAGTATGTCTTCGATTTTTTTTTTCCTACAAGCAATGAACTGGCATCCTATAATTAAAAAATGCTTTTCATCCTGAGATTTTGGGAGAAATACCTGTTTTTATGCTTAAAAAAAGCACGGGGTTTTCCCTCTAAAACATGTTTAATATTTCCTTCTTGGTAGTAATGAAAATACAGCATTTATTACTTGTATTCCTTTATGAAAACTAATTACCATTTATGAGGCTTGGTGCCCATTTGGTTTGTGAAAATACGGAAGTTTAGTTTTTTACTTCAATTTCCTGTCAGCACCGATTAACATAACCTTTAGCCATTAACTACAGAATCAGAAATGATAGAATTTTAACCATATAGCCTTTCTTAATTGAATGCTTTTTCCTTAATGTTGACCTTTTATGGTTTTTTTGATCTTCTTTTGGCATTTTAGATTAGTCTCATGATCAGATGGGAAACCACGTTCCAGTATGTTTTTACAGACCACACACACCATGGGGCTTATAAATTGGCTGAGCTTAATTGTCCTAAACTGTGAGCTGGGCAGCAGACTCAAAGCACGTGAAGAGATTTTCCCCTGCGGGTCGCTATGCACAAGAATGCCCGCTCTGGGTGGGGTGGGGGCCGAGGGGCTGTAGCTGTCGTTCATGGTTCATGCCGCGCTGCTCGTCTTTCCCTGGCGTTCGTCACTTCGTTTGGGGGCACACTCTGTAGCTTTGGGAGTGTTTGTACATGTCCAGCAGTGATTTCGGTGCACTTGGAATCCTACCTTTCAAAAAGGAGGGTAGGAAAAAGCAGGAGCTTGAGGCTTCACAGGTTTCTTAGAAAGCAGTTCTTTTTTTTTTTTTGAGTCTTCACTTAAAACCCAGAGCAAGGATCACATAACTCTGTAGGATGATTTTCTCAAGGAAGAGAAGCAAGTTGATTGTTTTTAAGAAAAAAGTAAAATTCTTTAGGGAGAAAGGAGTCTAACTTTCTGCCCTTTTAAAAGGTTTTGATTTTGGAAACCATTATATTTCTGTCCCTTTTCAGTAGCAAGAATGCTGTCTCCTGTGTGCATGTTTGCTACTTGTGTCTCTAAGGTGGAGGAGTTTGAGGAGTTTTCAAAAGCATGTACCTTTATGAGGAGCTTTTTCCTCGGTAGAACATTTAGGAAACCTTCAGTATTTAAAACATGTTTAATTTCCATGACCAGTTAATGCATAGAATGGTAAATACTAGCTGTATTATATTTTACAAAACTGAATTTTATTTCTTTTGGCTATTAATACAGATACAGCCGAAAGAGGAGGACCAGAAACCATTAACTTCTTCCAACCCAGTGCTAGAACTTGAACTGGCAGAGGAAAAGTTACCCATGACTCTTTCTAGGCAAGAGGTAAGTTTATGTAGGGTGTTTGATGGGGGGGGTGGATCTTCAGAGCATTTGCATTTATCTCCAGTTCTTTCCAGTAAGCTCTGTGTCATTAGTGCCTATATAACATGTCTGACTGAACTAAAATAATGTGCAGCTAGCCAGTTTTTCTTCTTGAGGTTCTAAATTAATCTCCGTTTTTGTTTTTTTTTTAAGATTTATTTATTTTAGAGATCACACATGCATGAGCACAGGGGTAGGGACAGAGGTAAAGGGAGAGGGGAGAAGCAGATGCCCCGCTGAGCAGGGAGCCAGACATGGGGGCTCAACATGGGGCCTGAGAGGCTTGGGGGCTCAATCTCAGGACCCTGAGATCATGACCTGAGCCAAAGGCAGATGCTTAACTGAGCCACCCAGATGCCCCAATCTCTGCTTTTCTTGATACTCTTAAACTTTTAAAAGAATATATTTTTCCAAACTTTAAAAATTAAACACATTGTTCTAAATATATATATATTAAGTAATGATACATAAATTATTTGTCTAAATTATTTTAAACATACATTTTGTAACTTAATACATCTTTCTAGGTCAAAACACATCTATATAATTTTTTATGACTATATAATTTCCCATAATTTAGAAACCTATTATTTTAAAAATCAAACAGTAATGGTCATTGAGATTGCTTCAGCATTTCCTGATTATAAATCAAACTAAGATGAACATCTTTATACAGATGTCGTTGCATGATGCTAATGTATGATTCTTCCCTTTGGAAAATTTGCTAGAAGCATGGTTTCTGGAGTCTCTTGACTAAAGACTGTGCATTTCTGTGACTTGGGGTACATATCACCGCAGGGCTCTATAGACCTGTTGTCCCGGTTTGTACTCTTTAACTACAGTGCTCGTCTATACTCTGGTCAGTATCAACTATTACTTTTCTGAAAAAGCCAAAAACAACAAAAATTTTAAGATAACTCATGTGATGTGAAGAATGCAAACTATACAGAGGGGTACCAAACAAAAATGGAACAGAAGGAAAGGGAGGAAAGGACAGCTGACTCTAAATGCTGTCATGGGAAAATTAGATGAAGGAATTTGGAATACCTAGCCCAAAGAGAAGAATATTGGAGACCTAAAAAAAAAAAAAAAAAAAAAAAAACCATTGATAGCAGCTGTAATTTTGAAAAAGAATTTCGTATTCTCTGTGGTTTCATAAAGTAGAACTAAGACAAGTGGGTAGAAGTTTGAGGGAGGGAGGTTTTAGTTTATTGGAAGAAGTAAAACCTGTCTGTCCAAAACTGGGATGAAGAGATGTGGTCCCTGTCATTTGTCTGTCATGGACCTGGTAGAGGTGTGTTTGAGGTCATTTCTGCATTGATGGATGATAGCACCGGATGGCCTCTTAAACTCCTTTTGAATATCAAACTTTGGTTAACTCAGTGGAGCTCGACCAGTAGTTTCTGTGCTACTATTTACGTTTTCAGATAAGTTCTTGATACTTAAAAAATATTTTGGATCAACGTTTATTTTTCTCAGTTATTTTTTTCTTGTTATGAAATGGAACATGTATACAAATAACATACTAAACGTGCATGTGCAATATAATGAAGGATTATAAAACAAACACCCATTAACCATCACCCAAGTCAAGACACAGTATTATCAGCCCCTTAAAGCCTGACCTGTGCCCTGCCCTGAGCATTACTCACTTCTCTTCTGGGAGGTAAGTGTTTGGTTTTAACGTAGTCTTGGAATGCTGACACCAGGCTATGGTCCGTGCGTTATCAACTGACTCCGGACTTATTTTCTTTCTGTATAAAAAAAAAGTATATAAAAGTTACCACTCCCTTCCATCTTAATGTTTTTCTTAGGTATTCTGTGATACAGATGGAGCCTTTGCTGAACCGGTCAGCCAAAGGACCTTAAACATGGTAGGGTTTTTTAAGGTGTGACAGTAACTCATTATATCCATTCACGGAAAATGAAAGAAAAAACAAACACAACTGACTTTTTCTATCTACATTTCAAAATAAGTATTTGGTCACCTAAAGGAGGAATTACTGTTACTCAAAACATTGGAATTACTTTTATTGTTATTCTTACAGGTTATCAGAAGATTGAGAGAAAGAGGAGAACCAATCAGACTGTTTGGAGAAACTGATTATGATGCTTTTCAGCGTTTAAGAAAAATAGAGATCCTCACACCAGAAGTTAACAAGGTAAGAAGTCAGAACAAAACTTGAGAAAGATTACTGTACCACATAAACAAGAATAGTATGGAGTTTGAATAATTGCATTATTACAGGCAAAGATGGAAAAATAAAGTTGCCAGATTACTGCTACTGAATGTAAGCTTTCTTTAATTTTTTTTAAAAAGCACCTATCTTAAGCCTACAGTTCAGTGCATTTTGACAAATCCACTCCGAGCATGTAACCACCACCCTTAGGAAGATACAGAAAGTTTTCATCACACAAAAACATGCCCAGTGCCCCTTCTTAGCCAGTCCTATTCTTCTACTCAGTGCTTGCACAAACACCTTTTAAAGTTCTATCACTGTAGATTAATTTTGCTTGTTTTGCATTTCATATAGATGGCGTCATGAGAGTATGTCTGGCTTCTTAGGCTGAGCATATTTTTAAAATTATTGTTTCTGCAGAAATCAGTAGTTTGTTCCTTTTCATTGCTGATGATAGTTATCTGAATATCCCACCATTTGTTTTCAGCTTCAGGCTGTTATGAATAATACTGCTATGAACGTTCTTAAACAGGTCTGTTTTTGACCTGTGTTGCTTCTCTTTGGTAAATATGTTCTATCTCTTAGTAAATATCTGAAGTAGAATTGGTGAATAATAAGAGTAAATGTGTGCTTTAGTTTTTAAGAAATGCCAAGTATTTCTAAATGTCATCAGTATTTGTTATTTTAAGTCTTTTTAAATTGTAACCATTCTCTTGTATGTGTAGTAGTAGTATTTCATTGCAGTTCTATTTATAGCCTCCTGTTAACTAAAGGTAATGAGTATCTTATCACATCTTAAGTATCTTATTGCCCATATATTTCTCTGGTTAGTGCGTGTTAAAATCTTTTGTTCATGTTTTAATTGGGTTATTTGCCCTTTTATTTTTGAATTGTAGTTCTTTGTATGTTCTGAATACAAGTCCTTTGTCAGATGTACCCATACATGGTTTGTGACTATTTGCTGCTAGTCTTTGGCTTACCTGCTCTTTTCATGGTGTCTTTTGATGGGCAGCAGTTTTGCATTTTGATGAAGTCCACTTTTTTATGGTTATTGCTTTTGGTGTTTTTCTTAAGAAATATTTGCCTATCCCAAGGTTTTGAAGAGATGCTCTTTATTTTCTCTAAAAGCTTAACAGTTACAGGCAAGAGAGGGAACACAAGCAGGGGGAGTGGGAGAGGGAGGAGAAGCAGGCTTCCCGCGGAGCAGGGAGCCCCATGTGGGGCTCGATCCCATGACCCTGGGATCAGGATCTGAGCTGAAGACAGACGCTTAATGACTGAGCCACCCAGGTGCCCCTCTCATTTGTAAATTTTTTTAAAAATGAGGTATAATTGACATATTAGTTTCAGATGTTCACAACTTAGTGATTTAATATTTCTGTATGTTGTGAAATGATCCCCACAATAAGTGTAGTTAATACCTGTCCCCATACATAGTTACACATTTTTTTTCTTGTGGTGAGGACTTTTAAGATCTACTCTTACCAACTTTTAAGTAGGCATTCCCTGTGGTCACCATGCTGTGCATTACATCCCTGTGACTTATTTTATAATTGGAGCTATTTGAAGATGATAACATAAGTGTGAATGCTCTCCATATTTACTCCTCCCAGCCACATCTTAGGTTTTTGATGTCACATTTTACATGTTTTTCTTGTGCATTCTTTAACTAAATGATTGTAGTTAGTTATTTTTACTACCTTTGTCTTTATAAGTGATTAATCTGCTACCTTTATTGTATATGTACCTATTCCAGTGAGATTTATACTTTCATATGTTGTAGTATTACTAATTAACCCTCTGAGCTTGAAGAAGGCCCCTTAACATTCCTTTTGAGGCTGGTTTAGTGGCGATGAACTCACTGAGTTTTGCTTGTCTGGGAGACTATTTCTCTTCCAATTCTGAATGATGACTTTGTGAGGTAGAGTATTCTTGGTTTGAAGTTTTTTTTTTTTTGCAGCACTTTGAATATATTATGCTCTACCCCCTTTGTCCTGCAGAATTTCTGCTGAAAAATCTGCTGATAGTCTTATGTACACAACAAATGGTTTTTATTTTGCTGCTTTTAATAGTCTCTCCTTGTCTTTACCTTTTGATATTTTAATTAGAATGTGTCTTAGTGTGAGTACGTGTAAGTTTTTGAGGTGATTGCCATACATTTTCCACAGCAGCTGCACCATTTTACATTTCCAGCAATGAAGGGTTCCATTTCTCCACATCCTAGCCAACACTTACTACTACTACTATCTTTGATCATAGCCATCCTGATGTATTTGAAGTGGTATCTTGTGTGTATTTTTTTTTAAGGTTTTATTTATTTGAGAGAGCACGAGAGAGAGAGAGAGAGAGCATGCACAAGCAGCGGGAAGGGGCAGAGAGAGAGGGAAAAGCAGACTTCCCGCTAAGCAGGGAGCCCGACGCGGAGCTCAGTCATGACCTGAGTCAAAGGCAGATGCTTAACTTACTGAGCCACCCAGGCGCCCCCTTATTGTAGTTTTGATTTACATTTCCCTAATGACTAGTGATGTTAAGCATCTTTTTGTTCGCTTATTGGCCTTTTATGTGTAGTCTTCTATTCAAGACCTTTGCCCATTTTTAGCGAGTGGTTTTTTGTTGTTGTTACATGTAGCAGTTCTTTATATATTCTGGATATCAGTCGTTATCAGATTAGTGACTTGCAAATATTTCTCCCATTGCACAGGTTATCTTTTCATTCTATTGATAGTATCTTTGCAGAAAAGTTTTTAATTTTGATGAAGCCCAATTTTGTTCTTTTGTATTTTGGGGTTTTTTTGCCTGTGCCTTTGGTGTTGTATCCAAGAAATGATTGCCAAATCCAATATCATGAAGCTTTTCCCATGTGTTGTCTTCTGGGAGTTTTCTAGTTTTAGCTATTAAATGTACATCTTTGCTTCATTTTGAGTTAGTTTTTGTATGTGGTGTAAGGAATGGGTCCAGCTTTAAGGCTTCTTTTATCAAATGGTCACAAACTGGATGTGAATAGATGGTGGAATTTGCTGGTTTATCAAAAGCCTAGTGAAAGCCTAGGATATAGATGAGAAACTAGTTTCATATTGTTGACATTGCTGAATGGTAGGGGATTCAGAGTAGTTACAGTGAGGTTAGATGTTTTAAATAAACCGGGAAAATGGGTTGAAGGCTCTAGTGGAGACCTGGTCACTTACGCTAGACCTCATTAGAAAATTTCAGCATTTATGAATATTCTCATTTGGATTTGTCAACACATATGTTTGATTTTTCTGGCCAGAGTAGCTATTGTGCATACATTCTTTAAAATTTAAATATGTTCATTATAATTAACTTTGGACAATGATGATAGCTGCGTAATAAATTGAAATCTTGGGAGTCTCTAGTTTTACTAAGCTCTTAACTCTTGTGGAGGAAAAAAAATGAATTGTACTTACTAGTAGTGAAAAATCAAAAGGGAAACATCAGTGAAATTCCACAATGTGTGTATTTTTTCACCTTTCTCAGGGATTGAGGAATGATCTGAAAGCAGCTTTGGATAAGATCGACCAGCAGTACCTCAATGAGCTTGTGGGTGGTCAGGAACCTGGAGAGGAAGACACACAGAATGATTTGAAAGTTCATGAAGAAAACACCACAATTGAAGAGTTAGAGGTAATCTCTACACCCACCTGATCTCATTACCCCATCATATCCCTTCATTCTCTGGGGCAGATCTTGAGTTCATCAGATTGTTCAGAGCACACTACATGGTCTGTGGTCATTACAAAGGCCTTTTTTTTTTTTAATTTCGTGCTTTTATTTATTCACTCCCTTTTTTTTTTTTTAATGATTTTATTTATTTATTTGACAGAGAGAGACACAGTGAGAGAAGGAACACAAGCAGGGGGAGTGGGAGAGGGAGAAGCAGGCTTCCCGCGGAGCAGGAAGCCCGATGCGGGGCTCGATCCCAGGACCCCGGGATCATGACCTGAGCCGAAGGCAGACACTTAATGACTGAGCCACCCAGGCGCCCCTGTTCACTCCCTCTTTACTCATTCTCCACTCACATTCTGATATATTTGATGTGCATCCTCTTATTTGTTGGTGGTCTTGTAAAACCAGTAGTATTTTGTATGCTTGTGTTTTTAATGTACATAAATGATACTATACTGTGAATTTTTTTTTTTTTACATTTCTTTTTTCCACTTGGAACTGTATTTAAGATCCATCCTTGATGCTTTATGTATATCTGAACCATTGATTTTTAACTGCTGCATAGCATTTCATATTTTGTGGCATTCACTGCCTTTTACTTTTGTTGCCCTGTAATGAGAGCTGGATTGCTCCCAGCTCCCTATTACTACAGACAGCTTTGTGATGAATAGTCTTGTATGTAACCCCTGTGGACTCAGCAGGATGGCTGGATTTATATATGTGTAACTTGTCCAGGTTCTGTCACGTTGCTGTCTGGAATGGCTGTACCAGTCTACACCCCCATCAGAAGGGTGGGCGAGACTTTTACTCCCACAGCCCTGCCAACACTTGGCAGTATCTTGCTTTTTAATTTTTGCCAACGTGTTGAATATGGAGTGATACATGTAATCCTAATTAAAAAGCTGTGTTGTGCTATCTAAATATCTAGCTCAAGCAGAAATTATGGCTTAGTTGAAAGCTTCTACTGCTTAATAAACACAAACTGTTATTTTTCTTTTCATTCCTGGCTGCACTCTTCGTGAGATCATAGTTGTTTTAATTGTGCCTCTCCTCCTACCACCCCCAGCACCTTTCTTTGGACCCTAAATTTGACAGAAATAGTGTGAGCAACTATTTCTGGGCTTTCTTTTTTCTTAAATAGCTTTATTGAGATATTTACAAACTTTACAGCTTACCCATTTAAAATATACAATTCACTGGTTTTTAGTATATTCGCAGGTTGACGCAGCCATCATCACGACCTAATTCTAGAACGTTTCTGTTCCCTTAAAAAGAAGTCTACCCATTAGTTCCCTAAGCCCCCCTTTTTTGTCTTTTGATTTATAAACGATACCTTGCTCTCTAAATTGCAATGACAAATCAGTGTTTTCTTGTTTTTTAACTTACCTAGAAATTCCTTTAGGTTTTTTAAAAATAGAAATTAGTATATGTAATAAAGGTCCCTGTTCAGACTGGTGTTGAGAACGTCTATTCAGCTGTTGGTTTTTACTAATGAACAGAAGCATTGTTTTTCTGCAGGCATTGGGAGAATCTTTAGGAAAAGGCGATGATCATAAGGACATGGATATCATTACCAAGTTCCTTAAGGTACGTGCTTTTAGTCTAGGAAAGGACATTTGGGTTGGTTAAAAACTGTTGTTGAATTTTTGGATGATTTAAGGGTTAAGGACTGGAAAGGGAATCCCTCAATAAACACGTTTTGCACGTATACAGTTTATGACATTGCTGTGCACTGGGATATAGAGGTTAATCAAAGGAGACGTATATTTACTTCACTGCTGCACTTTAAAACTGACTTGTTAATGTAAACACGCAGAATCAAAGCAGTGGAATGAACAAGAAGTTGGGAGAGTTAAAAATTTTTAAAAACACTCCAGGAGGGAGTGCAGTGAGGGGAGTGTTCCAGAAGCTTTTATGAGTGGTGATGACAGTAAAGAGAGGAAGGAGGTGGGAAGACCTTGGCAGTGAAAAAAAGCAAACCCATCAGCAACCTTTCAGAGACTGTTCATTTTTTCAGTCCTACAGATAGCTGCATATTCCTGCTCTGATGAGCTCAATCCATCTTGCTCCTCAGCATTTCTTATTTTACTGGTTTAGGTAGAGTGTGTGCAAATGCCAGATTCATTTTAGTACTTATTCACAAACTATTTGTGTTCAGGCCAAGAGATTAAAATGCAAGAAGTGCTTTTACTTGTATTAACAATTTAAATACAACATATTAGTCGTCAAGATTCTCAGTCTATTGAGGATATGGCTTGGAATTAGATAGGCGTGGGAACTAGTGTGAACTAGAATTTTCCTTTCTCAGTGACAGCCTCTTTATAGAGGCTATCCATAGGTAATGCCACTAGGGGGGGGTATGTCCTCCGCCACCTTCCCTGTGTACCTGCCTCTAGAAACCATGCTCTTGATGCATTTAAACCCAAGGGGCACTAGGGTGGCTTTCCAGGGCTGGATGGAGGGGTTATAGTTTATTTCTGTTGTTTTCCTTCTTTCTCCTTTGGTCAGGTGCTTTATTGGGAATATTTAATTAAATCATCATCTGTACTACAAAAGCAGAAGGTCCAAATAGAGGCATACCCCGTTTTATAGTGCTTGGTTTTATTGTGCTTTGCAGATAATGCGGTTTTCTTCGGTGGTTTTTTGTTGTTGTTTTGGGGTTTTTGTTGTTGTTGTAGTTTTTACAAATGGATGGTTTGTGGCGGCCACGTGTGGAGCAAGTGTATCGGCACTGTTTTTCCAATAGAATTTGTTCAGTTTGTATCTCTGTCACATTTTGGTGATTCTTGCAATATTTCAAACTTTCTTTGTTACTGTATTTGTCATGGTTAATTGTGATCAGTGATTAGGACATGAGAGCTCAGATGATGATGAACCTGTTTTAGCAATAATGTATTTAAATTTTAAGGGGGGAGGGGGAGAGGAAGAGAGAGAATCTCAAGCAGACTCCATGCCCAGCGCAGAGCCTGACGCGGGGGCTCACTCTCATGACCCTGAGAACAGACCTGAGCTGAAATCAAGAGTTGGATGCTTAACCGACTGAGCCACCCAGGCACCCCAGCAATAAAGTTTTTTTTAATTAAGGTATATATATTGGTTTTTTTTTTTAGATGTAATGTTATCCTATACTTAATAGACTACATTATAGTGTAAACATAACTTTATGTGCATTAGGAAACTAAAAAATTCACTTGACTTTATTGTGAACTCGCTTTATTAATGCGGTGGTGTGGAACCAATCCTGCAGTGTGCATGGGGTATGCCTGTATCACAACATCATACTTGGAGGATTAATTATCACAGCACATATGGTATTATGGCAAATAAGTCTAGGTGGGTTGAATTTTAGTAGAAATACGAGTAAAAGTTTATTTCTGTCAAAGTTACCTATGAAATTTGAAATTTGATAGTTCTTGTTAGGGGGAAATTGATTATCTTTGAGCTAGGAATACATACATATATAGAATAGGGAAGTTTGTGACTTGCCAAAAGCACTACAAAATATACATGTATGTATACAAATGTATGACAAAATAAGCAGAAATAGTTCATTAATTAGATATTGATGCTATTTTAATTAGAAAAAAATTTAATCTAAATATATTGTTTGTGAGTTAGAGAACTTTTAAACTTTTGAACCACTGGGTGGCATCATAGTCTAAATTTACCCATTCTTTCAACAGTTTCTTCTTGGTGTTTGGGCTAAAGAACTGAATGCCAGAGAAGATTATGTGAAGCGCAGTGTGCAGGGCAAACTGAACAGTGCTACTCAAAAACAGACTGAGTCCTATCTCAGACCCCTTTTCAGAAAGCTACGGAAAAGGGTAAGGTTCCTTGAAAAATGCTTTTACATAACTGATTGTTTAAAAAAAAGAATATATAAAGTTTGAATAAATGGCAGTCTGTAATTATACACAGTAGCTTCCAAAAATAGTTAACGCTTTTTTTCTTTTCCAGAATCTTCCTGCTGATATTAAAGAATCCATAACAGATATTATTAAATTCATGTTGCAGAGAGAATATGTAAAGGTACATTACCATGTTGGGCATCCGTATTATGGTTATGAGCTTATCTAGGTTGTATGTGCATAATACCTTCACTTGGTGTGGGAGTATTTTACATAGGAGCTTGAAGCATAAATGTGAAATGAATTAGTAGTACAAAAACAAAAACCCAAAACCTTTTATCTAATTCATTGTCAGCTTTCTTATTAGGCATTGATAATAAACTTTTCTGACCACATTGGTTTTTTAGTCATTTTTAAGGTAGGTGTGAAGATTCTTCAGAGTATGAACTGGCTATAGGCAATGTTCATTTCATGAATGGGATTGGATTTCAAAGATTGTTCAAGATTATGGCTTGGAACAAATTTTCCCATAGAAACGATGTTATGTAGATTAGTTTCCCACTCCAGCTATAAAAGCCTACTTAATCTGTAATATAACTAAACTATTGTACTAACGATACAGTGGAATTTAACCACCCTTTATACTTGTATGAGAAAATGTTCCAAGTAAGGCCACCAGAATTCATCCCTTCCATTTCAGAACAGCAATAGCAGACCCCTTGTTAGGGAAGACTTTTCCCCTTGCCCCAGTGTCTTTGATCCCAAATGGGCTCGAGGAGGAGGCTGCGGCAAGAGGAAAGAGCTCCCCGTGGCCCAGCGCTCCTGGAGTGGAGTTCAGAAAGGGGAGTGGGAGGCTGTCAGTCGGTGCAGGGAACATAAAAAGAATGCCTGCTGTACCAGTAGTGGGGATTGGAAATGTGCCCCTGCGTCTGGCCCATCAGCAGAGTCTCAAGAGGGAAGCTTCTAGTGGCAGTGACTCTCAGGAGTGAGGAGGAGGGAGTTTCAGCCAACAGTTCTACTGACCATTCCAGAGTAGTAGGTGGGGCTCTGGCAGAAAAGTGGGGGTGCCAGTGCTTACTCCTGCAGTTGGAGTTTCTGTACTCAAGCAGAGGGTGGGCTAGCACATGTGGGGGCTGGAGCCTCGTGCTCATGAGGCGAATGTAGTGATTTTACTCCCTCTGTTGGAGAGCCAGTTTGTTTTATCAAAGGGAATGTTTTTGTTTTGTGCCTATAAATTTTATGCCTTTATAGTTTCTAGTAGCATGGTACTTAGTAAGGACAGTTGCCTTGGAATGGATGGATAAGGTCACCGTTACTGCAGAAAGAAAGCAAATCACTTGCCAACTAGTGAGCATGCCTTCCCTTTTGTTACTTTTTGCATTTTGATATTTGAGAGGCATGTGAAAGTTTATTTTATGTAAACTGCTGAAGAACCAAGAAACTTTAATAACCTGTTTGGACAGCTTTCCTTAGAAATTTGGGGGAACTAAATATTGGACATTTTATCAGTTAATATCCAGTGTGAAGAGTGATACAAGTCAGAATCTGTGATAAAAGTGTAACGTGTTCTTTAAAATTAAACTTTTTAAAACTGAGTAGGGCAAATTCACATTTGTGTTCTGGGTAGAAATGATCTTCCAGTTAGCCTATTTGTAGTACCTGATTTTTAAAATCAACTCTGCATATCAATCACATAGGTCTTTGGTTTTCAAAACTAAAATCTCCTCGAGACCTGACTATGAACCTCCCTGAAACCCTAGGGGTCTTTCAGAATTTACTTGATTTCTATTTTATTCTCTTTTTTTTCCTTCTAGGTAGCCAGACTTGGTTTAGAAAAAGAGCCATTTCTTCATCGGGTTCTCTCCTTACATTCTGTAGCTTTTCTTTTAACGTTCTTGGCAGGTGGGAGGTGTAGAGGGGCCAAAGTGAAACGATCTCATCCTGTAACTATTCGGCTCGAGGGTTAGTATTTAATCTCTGTTTACACCTCTGCTGTGGACCCTGTATGATAGTCCCAGCTCACAGAGCCCCCACTGCTTTCAGAGGCCTGCAGGGCTGTGCACACAGTAGACACAGTTGCAGGTTGGATTCTGAAAAACCAGTTAGCCTCCATCTTCAGCGTGTGACCACCTGCGGAGAAGACTGGGGCTAGAGGAGACCCAAACTAGAGTTTCTGTCAGTGCATCAAATTACCTACCTGGTAATTCCAGATCTGAAATGTATTAGTTGCCAGTGCACAAAGGCTACAAAGGAATGTTTGTCTTTTTACTCACAGGATTAGCTTTGGTTTCTGGTTTTCCATGGACTTGGGCAGGGCAGTCCATCACCTCATATTTTAATTTCTTTTGTTTGAATAATGGGAACGGTAATACTTTCAACATGCTCAAGAGGTGGATGAAAATTATGTCATAAAGGGCTGTGAAATACTTCACAAATTGGGACCAACCTAGTATTTCCTTTTCTAATCTCTTAAACTTTTCTTTTTAGGCTAATGATGCTTATCTTCAGATGGCCATTGGAAATGCCCCTTGGCCCATAGGTGTCACCATGGTTGGTATCCATGCCAGAACTGGCAGAGAAAAGATTTTTTCTAAGCATGTTGCACATGTTTTAAATGATGAAACACAGCGGAAATATATTCAGGTAAGCAATTGGGAGGGAAAGAAATTGCTCTGGAGGTTAACATTCTACAATTCCCAAACTGTCAATTTTGAGAGCAGGAGAAGAATTATAGCAAATTGGATATAGTATGATAGAACACAAGTCCACTTTTAAGTACCTATGTTTAAGACCTCTCCACGGAATAAAATAGAAACCTTGTAAGTTTCATATATGGCACCAGACAGGGTGAGGCGTTGTGCTTTAATTACCGCAGCATTGAAATAATGCTATTTCAGTTGGCTTTGGAAGTTTGGTGAAGAAGGACAAATTTAGACTATTTAGCAGTAAATCTCATTTTGTTATTTTCCAGATAGATTTAATCATCTACTGGGTTAAAAAGAAGGTATGAGTAGTAAAAATCTGGCTTTAATGAATAAAATTATTTTTCAGTAACATTTAATGACCCTTCTTGACACAAACAGGGCTAAAGGTTTAAGTTTATTTTCTTAGGGTTCTCTGTGCCTCACATAAACTTGTTTCTGTTGTTGGGTAAAACTTTTCTTCTTAGTGGGGGGGGGGAAAAACGTCAACTGTTAATGCCGCTTTTGCCAAATTGTCAAAAATCCCGGATTGTGTCCAATGACTTGTGCCAGATGTTAATTCTAAAGTTTGAAGATGATACTCAGGAAGTTTACTTAAAATGTAAAATTTGCTCAGAATGCATAACATGCTTTCAGGTTTTGTGCCAGAGAGCAATTATTACCATATTCATGAATTATCTTGTTATGTGATTTCAATCCCAAGTGCTGAAGATTAACTTGTGCTTCATGCTTTATGCCTTATTCATATATATTAGCATTTTCAAATAGTTCAGCTTGACTCCCTAATATGAATTGTAGAATTTATAGAGTTCAGATATACTTGTTGAAATTCAAAGACCTTTCCGTTTTTTTAATAACCACCAGTGACTGTATTGAAGGCAAAAAGTTTATTTCAGCAGAGGGTTGGGGTGGTGGGGAAAGTCGTTTGGCTTTAACAATAGAAAACAGTTTCCAATGATTAAATTTGCTAATTGTGTTCAACTGTACCATGGCCAAAGCCAGTGTGTCTGTAAAGTCCATATAACAACATAAATTGTCTCAAAAACAGGTTTTTGCTTTTCAGGAATGGCACGATTTCCACTTCCGCTCAAACTGATTTTCTTAAAAATATATCTAACATTTTTAAAGATTTCTGATTTATTTTTAGAAGCTGTATAACGACCTATTCTTCCATTGGTCTTCCTTTTTAACTGTTCCCTTCCCATTTAAAAAAAAATCCTCCTTTTTCCCCCAAGATGATGAGGGAAAATTGGTAAGTAACCTTTAGGAAGGTGTTTGACTTGAACCCAGTAATTTTCTTGTGGACAGATGTTAATATGATACTGCAGTCAGGTGGACTCATAGCAGGTTGAGTGCGGGATGCCGCAGGGGACTGAATAATGGATCCCTGTCTAGGTGGATGCTAGTGAGGTGTCATGGGGTTCTTAGTTACCTCAATATTGTCCTGTTAAACATTTTAATGACTGATTTGGTTGACTCTGCAGAGAGGTTTATTTATCAGATTTACGGACAACAAGGGTAGCATGTGTGTTAAGGTAGAAAAGACATTGGCATTCCAAAAGTTCTTGACAGACTGAAGGAAAGAACAGATTCTAAAAAATATATTTAGCAAGGATGACCATAAAAAAAATTTGGATCCAGTGACCTGCTTGCTTGACTATACAGTCTGAGCAGTGTATATATGAGAAAGGATTGGGGAATTTAGTAAGCTATACATGCAATAAAATTGATATTATGATATGGCTGCTACAGAGTCTAATGGTAGCTTATGCTACATTATTAGACATAATAATTTAATTGTAGGTTCCACAAGTCAAGAACATAGTTCACTGTTACATACCCAGAGTCTAGAACAGTACCTTACTCAGAGGTGGGTGCTCCATAAATATTTGCTGATTGAATGAATATTGTATAGGACAAGAAATGTGAAAGTCTTGTTACTTTTGTAGTTCTTTGAGAAAGGAGACTGTTGGGAATCTGGGAAAGAGAGCTGTAGATAATGGTGGAACTTTCTGGCAGAAAAGGGAGTAAATTTGTCCTATAGTTAAGGATCAGTTAAGGTATGGGAAGGAAGGCATGTTTTTAATCAGTGTAAGGAAACAATAGTTTTCTTTTTATTAAACGTTTATTTTTAGAATAATTACAGATAGACTCACAAGAGGTTTCAAAAATAGGACAAAGCTTTTTAACAGAAGTGCCCTGAGACAGGAGTAGGGCCACTGGGAAGATGTGAGGGGAGATCCCTGCCACTTGATGTTTGCAAGCATCACGTTAACTATTGCCCTTTTTGCTCCTCGGTATCTTTGATTCTGCTCTGCCATTTTCCCTTGAGGCCATTGCTTAAACCTAAGGTTGCAAACTCACATGCCCATGACAGTAGTAAGTGAGCTGAGCGGTAAGAAACACTTGACCCTCTGTCTTTTGTTTTCCTACTTTTCATATAGGCAGAATCGAAGCAGTATTTCATTTTGTCTCAACTCTGTCATAACAGGATGGTGAAGGCTAGTGGGAGGGGTCAGCTGATGTTTAACCCTCACTGGTGCTGGAGTCACTTCAACTCGTTGTTCCCTTGGAGGGATAGGGGTCAGTGTTGCTCGATCTTCCACCTTTTTTTTTTTTTAATATGCCAAATATCTTAATTTTTTCTAAAAAAAAAAAGTATTCTATTTTTTAAAACAGTGGCACCAAATTAAATTAGCATTGTGTAAGGACAAATAAAATGCTGGGTTTTTTTTTATGTCTTAACATAAACCTGTGGTGCTGATCAGCTCAAGGCCAAACACTGCCATCCCCATGTGAGAGTTTTATGAAATTATTGATGGCGATGAATGGAGTAATTTGCTGTCTTTTGAGTCCTCCTCCTGTTAAATATATTATTTGAAGATAAGTCAGGGGTTGACAAACTTGTCTTAAAGGGTAAGATAGAAAATACTTGAGGCTTTGCGTTTCCCAGGTGTCTTTTGCACCTCTTGGACCCCACAGCTGGGGTGTGAAAGCAGCTGGTGGCTGCGTTCCAGGAAAGCTCCACTTAGGAAAGAAGCGCATGGCCTGTGGACCCTAGTTTGCTGACCCACACATTTTCTGCTTTAAGATATTGGCTGAGTAGGTAATCATGGAAGTCCTTCAATAGGGTAACTGTCTTATTAAATTGAGATACAGTAAACCTCTAAAAGGCAGTGGGTTTGTGAGGTGTGCTCCTCTTCATTGTACAGCCCAGTGATTCTTGGTATGCGTCATAATTTACCAAGACAGAAAACAAATCTAGATACAGAATGCTTCTAACAGCACCCCAGAAGTTTGTTCATGCCTTTTCCCAGCCCAAGTCCTCTTGCCATCAGAAATAACCTATAGGTTAATTTTGCCTGTTTTTGGACATCATTTAATGGAATCTTGGATGTATGGAATAATTATTTAAAGATCCTGGTGAGAAATGTCTGTGTTAGGAAATATGGTTGAAAACAATTCGAGAGGCTATTTTATTGTACCATGATTTCATCTTCGGGTTTTATGCAAACCTCTATAGAATTTAAACTGTGAAAGTTGTTTGAAGTGTTCTCTTGCTCACAAAAATTAAACACACCACAGGGAGGGTTTTTTCACCATGCAGATCAAAGGAAAGTTGTATAGTTTATTAGCTAGCCTCAAATCTGGGGTTAGATTTAAAATGGTGTTAGTAACTTCAAGAACTTTGTTTGCCAAATACAGATTGTAACCTTTGGCCCAGGTTTGGGTAAAGCTTCTTTTATACAGATTATAGTAAGCTCTTGGTTATTGAGAGACTTTATAATTGAGTCATTTAAAGACCTCTCTTGAAAAGGTTCACGTCTTGGGCATTCTTCTCTGTAAAGATGAGAAGGAGGAAAAGCTGAAATGCACCTCAGGTGGCTGTTTGCTTGGCAGGTCCACTCTCCACTCTTCCTCACCTTGTCCTGTGCCCCCAAAACCTGGCTTTTATGAACACTATTGACAGGCTCCCTTGCCTTTTGGTTCTGATTGGGGTAGGCAGTGAGAGGGACAGGAAGGCGTTGTGTAGGTTTGGGGTATTTATTTCCTTACCTTCCTCCCTGTGAGGTCACTAAGGGTTGATGGCACCTCCTGTCGGAGGCCGTAGCTTCTCCCAGATGGCTGTCTGCATACAGTTACCATCTCTGGGCTTCGGTTAACTACCCCTCCCCCCTTCCTTGCCCCTCAGAGCACAGGCTGGGTACTGCTTCCCAGTACTGCTAGCTCTGGGGCACTAGACTGTCTCCTGTTGGTCCCATGTCCCGCCCATCCCATGTCTTCGTGAAGTTCTTGGAATTACTACCATGAAGTTTTTGAGTTTGAGTACGCTCTTTGTTTCCTGCTGAAACATCCCTGATATATCTAGGTTAATCTGTGTACTGTGTTACAACAGATTTTTGGGGGGATTAGATGATTAAGGAGTAATATTCATTCTGAATAATTTTTCTTAGAGTTGCACTATTATAAAAGGCGAATGTCCCATAACAGTCTGCTCTGACAAGTTGTTTTCAGTAATCTAAGTTACTAAATTCTCTAGTAAATCCCAACATTTTCTCTTAGTTATTTCAATCTGTATTTCAGGTTTTGGCATATATACTAGCATTTGCCAAATTTATTTGTTCATGGAACATTTGTAAATTTATAATATATTCATGTATTGCCCAAAATGGTAAAACAGACACTTTAGTCACTGCACTGAGTGGTCACAGCTTGATCCATATGTTGAATATACAGTCTCATGGTTAGCTGGTAAACATTCCCTAAGCATCGAAGTATATGTCACATTTGTGGGTCATGTGGCTTCATGCTACCTCCTGGCATTCTTGGCTATAATCCACCCTTTCTTAAAGGCAGGTTATTGCTTGATAACATACTGTTTACCCATTTAATACCTTCTGCCATATTAAATTTTTAGAGAAAAATAATGCTAGCATTTAT